ATCAGGAAAGGGGGAGGTGGATGTGGGGGATCTGCCTTCCCTCTTTCATGGCAAACCTGGGACCTACCCACTGCGGCTGGCCCGAACTTATTATATAATCACACCCAGCTGCAAGTGAGGCTGCAATATGACTACCATGAGACCATGTGCCCAGCTGAAACCTAAGGGATCTATCACTAAAGGATGGAGAGAAGCATGGAGAATGAGTGGCAACTTCAGCCCACAGGAGACAACAGACAGAGGTTTGACTTCTCAGTGGCCTCTCTAATCTGGGGCCCAGAGCGATGGGAGGAAAGGCCTAGAAATGGAAATCCAGGAATGGAAGCATCCACCACACTTCTGACTGAGTACAGGTTGGAACAGAGCCTTGGAGATGTGGGAACAGCAGGACTAAGATGAGCATGAAAAGGCTGGACATAATAGTGTTCTTCCTCCCCCATCACACCCCCTGTTGTGGGTTGAATTGTGTCCCCCTAACACATGATGCAGTCCTAACCTCCGGAACTTGTGAATGTGACCTTATTTGGAATTAAGGTTTTTGTAGATGTAATCATGTTAAAACTAAGTCTAATTGCCCTGGCTGGTGTGGCTCAGTGGATTGAGCACTGGCCTGCAAACCAAAGGGTCACCGGTTGGATTCCCAGTCAGGGCACAGGCCCGGGTTGCAGCCCAGGTCTCCAGTAGGGGGCGTGCAAGAGGCAGCCACACACTGATGTTTCTCTCCCTCTCTTCTTCCCTTCTCCTCTCTCTGAAAATAAATAAATAAAATGTTTTTTAAAAAAGCCACTAACAACTAATGTTTGAAAAAAAGTTAGGCCTTACGGATTAAGTTAGACCCTGATCCAATAACTGGTGGGTTTTTTTTTTAATCCTCATCCAAGGATGTTTTTATTGATTTTTGAGAGAGAGAGAGAAACACAGATTTAATAGAGAAACATCAATCAGTTGCCTTCCATACGTTCCCAGACTGGGGATTGAACCTGCAACCTAGGTATGTGCCCTGACCAGGGATCAAAACTGCAACTTTATTGGTGTGTGGGACGATGTTCCAACCAACTGAGCCACCCAGCCAGGGATGATGTTCTTCTAAGAAGAGGTAAAACTGGATACAGACATATAGGTGAAGAAGGCCATGTGAAAATGGCGGCAGAATTGGAGTAATGCAGCTACAAGCCAAGCAAACAAGGATGGCCCCAAACACCAGAAACAGCAAGAGGCAAAGAGAGATTCATCCCCTAGAACCTTCAGAGAGCACAATCCAGCCAACACCATGACTTTGGACTTCTAGCTTCTAGAACTACAAGAGAATACATGAATGTTTGGGGTCATTCATTACGGCAGCCCTAGCAAACTAGTCCACTATCTTTTTTTTTCCTGGCTCTCTAGGGCCCCTTTCTCACAAACCTGACCGTGTCCCATAAAGCACAGACATCTGGAAGTGTTCTCTATCCTAAACCTTCCATCCAACCTTAAAATTTAGCTCATTATAAATGCTGCGTGGGCAATGATAGGGTGAATTGGACCGGAACCACAACGTCAGGCACAGGCCAGACCAGGGTCTGAACGTGAAAAGAGAGCCAGAGGGGAAGATGTATATGATGACGTGAGTAAGGACCCAGCAGAATTAGCGTGAGGTGGGGAGGGGCTATAGAGACCAACGGCAGGTGGGTCCGAGATCCAGGCTGTGGACAGAAGCAGGGCCACACAAGAGTCAAAACCAGGTGACTGAAAACTAGTCCCAGCCCCATACTCTAATGATACCACTTACACTGGAGAAGCCCTCTCAGTTTCCAAACCGTCTTTACATCCAGTCCCTCCTTCAGTCTTCAAACACAGTCTGCGTGAGCTGAGTGGAGCACCAATAAAATCTCTGTTTGATTCACTGGCAGACAGAGTATTGGAGGTGCAAGGAACATGCTCAGTGTCACATGACTGATTATTAGCAGTGTGTGTAGAGGAAGGAAAACAAACTCTGGAGTCTGACAGACGGTCCTTTGAACTGAGACAAGCCAGCTATTTGATTTCTATGAGGCTCTGGTTTTTATTTGTGTCACTACAACACAACATTTCTGGTGACACCAAATAAAACAGTCGTATTTATTTGTGTTCAATGAATGATGATTTCTTTCCCTCCTCCCTTTCTTACTTGTTTTTCAGCTGTGAATTCTCTGCTCTTTCTACTACCAACCACAGTGTTGCATTCACTTACTAATCTTGGCTTCTCACAATTCGCATCTCAAGAAGTCAGTTTCTTCATCCATTTTATCAAAGGATTGCACTAAATCATTTCTGTGGTCTCTCCCAATTGGCTTAGGCAGGACGAGTTTGAGGGGTAGGGTGGACCACCCCGATTTATGTTTTCCCCAGATCAACCTTGACAAGCCCACACCTGTTGTACCTCACATCTCCATCAGGGGGCGCCTAGCATCACTTATGCCTTGGGTGGAGAAGATGCTAAAGGTGCTAAGCTCTGCCTAGGACTTCACAGAACTTTAGGAGAGAGAGCCAGTCATCCCAGAAATGCTCATTCCCCTTCTGAAGGCAAGAGAGGGGAGAAAGTTTTAGTCTCCATTTACTTTCTAGATAGGGGAAAGCATTTTGATTTTCTTTAATCTCATAATAAGATGAGCTCATGAAAGATTAGATTGCCTTCTGGAGTGTCTGCTAATCAAACTGAGTTATGCATTGTGCTCCAACCGCTCACTAATTAGCCCGAGGCCAATGATATTTAGGACTTTTTGCTTGGGGTGGGGGAGAGCATTAGCAGCACTCCCCACACCAGGCACCCACTTCCCCTCTGGGCAGATATGCAAACACAGATGTAGGCTACCAAGAGGCCCGAGAGGAGCCTAGATCTTTGGTTTTCAGGATGGAAAGATAAAAAAACACTATTTCTGTGGCCTTCACCTGTGCCCCCAGACAAAAGGGAGAAGCTGCTTCTGAATGGAGCTGGTGTGGAATTATAGCTGAGGACCACAGTCAGAACTTACCACCATTCCCCAGAAGAATCTACCATGAAGAGACACTCTGAAGAGAATCTGTTGTCAGCCTCCCCCTTGCCCTCATTCTGCCTGTTTCTTAGCAATTTCTCTGGAAAATGCAATCACTCCTCCTTTCCTCTCCTCCAACTCAGCCCCCTTCTCCCTGTCATTTCTGCCCCACACCCATCTCCTGCTAACGGACTCTGGCGAGGCCAGGGTTCCACGGGCTCCTTCATTCTCACTGGCCTGTAAGTCTTCACATCTCTAGGTTCAGAGGATGGTTGTTTGTCTTCCACAGTTCAAGTGCTCAGGCCTTATGCTAACACAAGCAGCCTGCTCCCCATCCAAGAATGTAAATCTCCCTTGGCCTGACACCTGGCCATGAGTTGCTGGAGATATGACCAGAGCGGCTGCTTCTCTGTCTGTCAGATACACTGGTGACAATTCACAGATGGAGCCCACAGCCCCAGTGCAAGTCTAAACACTCCAAAGCAGTCTGACAGCTGGCACACGGGTACATGTCAAGCAAGAGTCAAGCAGTATGAGTTCCTGGATAATGTTCAAGGACATTGCCACAAACCAGAATCCAGCTCCACTCCACCCCCCTGCCCCAAATCATCCTTCCCCCAGTGCCTAGGACTGACTGGGCAGCTTTCCTCAGTGATGTTGGGGAAATATTCAGAGATGGGGAGAGGAGGCTCTCTTATTTATTCTCAGGCTAAAGCAAGCCTTCCTTCTCCTGTAAGAGTTCAAAAGTTGAGCCCGTGCCCAGAAACCTTCTAACCTCAAACGGCAGAGATCTCGCACTGCTCTGGGTTGAAGATGAGAAGTCAACTTTGGTATGCAAACATCCTAAGAAATAAAACCTGGGCCCCCGGAGAAAAGAGAGCAGCCCAGGTCAGGCCCCATTCACAGGGAACACCCTTATGTGGAAATCCACCAGGCTTATCCTCAGGGCAGATCACGGTTTATAGGCCTGGAGCCCCTGGACCAGACCGAGGCATTGTGTGCTGCTGTCGTGCATCACATTAAACTCTCTATGATTTACAAGCTACCCTGTAAATCAGCCCGGACAATGGCCTCTGCTCATGGAGTTTAGAGAAGAACTCACAAAAACGATCCCGTGATTTCCATAGACATTTCCTTTCCATAGAAAACTGCCTGATAAGATTCATAAAAATTGGAATAAGAAAAAACCAAGTGATCAACTGGTTCGAACTTGTAACTCCAGTTTTTTACTCTCAGAGGATAAGATAGATTTCGGCAGCCCAGGAAAGGGAGTGAGAAGGTAGAGGTTATGAAGAGAATGGGAAACGTCAGAATATATTTATAACCCAAGGCATTTGCCCAACACAATGCTCTGTGCCTCCAGAAATGCACACGTACAGTGCAGAACAAAGCTGGCCCCTGCTGGCAACGGGCTCCTACGAAGCCACCACCGGCTTATAGCACGGGAGCTGACACGTGCCCCATGTGTCCCGAGCCCAGCAAACCCAAACCTAAGGACACTTTGCTCAAGTCCTGTGGGTACCGTGGCTTTGCTACTCACTTGAAGTGGATTCCAGGAGTTTGGGAAAGGATGGGGAGGCAGGCGTGTCAAAGGTTCAAGCTTGGTCCCCTTTACCCAAGCCGATGTTTCATTTTTGTTTCATGAGGATTAGGAAGAAAGGGACAAGGATTAGTCCTGATTTATTGCCTCTGTTAAAAGCCAGCTCTAAAAAGGGGGTAAGTGGATTATGAAAAGAAAACCAATGGAGAAAAAAGAGGGTGTAGATGAACTGCATTCAATAGTATTTATTAAGTTGACTTTAAAAAGTAAAGAAGGGATCCATTCTAATGGTTCGCCTTCCTATGAACCTCAGAGTCCCCCAGGCCCTTTTTTGAAGAAGCCCTTCCGACACATTTGTGAGGTAGATCAGAGCTGTTCCGTGACTACAGTGAGGCTGGGGCTCAGCCTCACTGAGCTGCGGTGAGAAAGCCAGGGACACGAGTGCCAAACCTTGACTTTTTTTTAGCTTCCTGCTCTCAGCCTGGGCTGCCGAGCCTAGAGAACACTGGTTCATCAGGTCTTGGGGGGGCAGGGTGGGGGTGCGGGCAATAGGTAGAGAACGAGGGGTGCTCTCCCTGCCCTAAGCACACGCACACCAGTGAGCAAGGTGCTGGCCCAAGCTATCCCCACTCCTCCGAGAACGCAGCTGAGCGCCGGCAGCTGGACTCTCCAGCTGCTGAGGTATTGGTGAAGTTCAGGGGTGGGGTTTAGGAAACCTCTCTCAGAAAGAAAGAGAGGGAATGGTAAAAACCTGCTCGGTAAGGGTTCCCCTCCCCCTCAGTCCCCACTTCCCCTTCAGGTGGCCCAGTCACCAGGTTCTGGAGGGCAGAGTGTTTCAGTTGGGAAGTTCCACGGGGCTCATTCTAAACAGAGGCCAGAGCTTTCCAAGGGTTCTGGATCAACGGAGCTGTGGTTTCTTGTCCTTCAAGGCCTAAGAAATCCCCCAGGAAGCCCTGGAAAAAATGAAGAAGGCAAATCTTGGGGTGGGACACACGGGGTGGGGACACACGGGATGGGGACAGGGAAACTATGGGGGAGGAGGGTCAGAGACCCTGGAAAACACATAGCTGTACAAACGCACCCAGGCCCCACCCACACCCACTGGTTCTTCACTCCCCTCTGTCCTTCATACCGTAAGTGGATTCTCACCTTCAGAGCTATCAGACCTTTCAAAGAAACCAGAACTGAGGCCAAGGACTTGGGAGGGGCTCCAGTCGTCTCTGCGAGCCCAAAGCCAGCCCAAAACGTGGCCGGGAATCCGGGTGACCACAGAGCTAAGGTAGAAACTCGAAACTTGACTGACCAGGCAGGCCAGAGGCCTCGGGCACAGCAGCACTTTCCTGGCGCTCACACGGGACGCTGGGGTGGAGAACAACTCGCTCGTCCTCCTCCGTTTCAGTCCTAGGGCCGAATGGATCGGATTCGAGAAAAGAATGGACCGTGGTTTCCATTTTTGTTCCCTAATCCATGTATCCCCTTCTTTAAATGCAGAGTCCCTCCCAGCTCCACCTTCTCCCACCAAACTCCAAACTCATAAAAGGACCCGAGGAGACACTCAGTGCTTCCTGATCCCGAGCTGTCCCCCACCCCCACCCCCACCCCTTTGCCTCGGTTACCTACCTGTCGAGCGGTGGGAACTGCCTGGACTCCGCGGAGCTGGTCAGGGGCGCAGGGGTGCGAGAAGCCGAGACAGCGGCGGGGTGCTCCTCCGGCCGGCAGCCGCACAGCAAGCGGCGGAAGGCGCGGCGAAAGTCGGGGCTGCGGCAGTAGATGAAAGGGTTGAAGGCAGAGTTGGCATAACCTAGCCAATTAAGGGCGAGGAAAGCCCTATTGGGAACCAGAGAGGGGCCCCCGAGGGCGCGCACCACGTTGGATACAAAGAAGGGCAACCAGCAAAGAGTGAAGGTACCCATGATAAGACCCAAGGTGCGCAGGGCCCGGTGTTCCCGGAGAGAGAGGAGGCGCGCCGGCCTGCGATCGTAGGAGGGCGCCGCTGCCGGCGGAGCGCACGGCCCCGCGGGGGCTGGGGATGGAGACCGAGACGCAGCCGGCGGAGACTCCTCTGACGGGAAGCGGCCCAGCTCGCGACGCAGCAAGCGCAGTTGGCGCCTAGCCACAACGAAAACTCGCGCGTAGACGAAGAGCATCACAAGCAGTGGAACATAGAAGGAGACGGAGGAGGAAAGCAGCGCATAGGGCATGTTGGCGGCGAAGGAGCAGCAGCTCGGGTTGGCCTGGCAACTCAGCGTCTCAGCGTCGGCCCCTGCGCGCCACCATTTGCTCATGATGGGCGCAAATGACACGGCGGCGGACACGACCCACACGAAGACCACGGCTGCCCGGGCTCGGCGTTTGGTGACCAGGGCGCGGTAGCGCAGTGGGTTGGTCACGGCCAGGTATCGGTCTACCGCCAGGGCGCACAAAGTTTCGATGCTGGCGGTAACGCACAGCACGTCCACCGAAGTCCACAGCTCGCAACAAGTGGCGCCTAGGGGCCAGTGGTCAGTCAGCCCCAAGGTGGCCCCCGGTGGCACTACCAGGAGTCCTACCACCAGGTCCGCTGAGGCCAGAGAAGTTACGAACACGTTGGTCATGGTCTGGAGTCTCGGTGTCCGCGCGATGGCCACGATAACCAACAGGTTGCCTCCCACGGTGGCCAGCACGGCCAGAGTCAACAGCGCCCCCGCTAGTGCTACTGCCCACGGCACCCCTGACAGCCCACTCGCGTTGGCAGTACTGGGTGCCAGGGTGGGGACATATGGCCACGAGGGCAGAGAGCTGTTCCCGTCTGGCCGCGGAGCCATTCCCACGTCGTGCACCGAGCAGGAGGGGAAGAGGGAAAGGAGCTCCCAGCTCATGCGACTCAGGGGAGGGGACAGCGGGGCGTGGGAGCGATCTCCCTGGCCTGGGCCATCTTCCCTAGTTGACTGGGAAAGAAAACTTAGCTTACCCAGACCCTCCCTACCCGCCACCCCACTCGGTGCCACCACTAGGGCGGGGGGCGGGGGCGGGGAGTGGCGGCCCTTAAAGGGGCAGCGGCCCATAGTATCAACTCTCGGCGTCCGGAGGGGAATTGGAGGGGAGGGAGGGAAGCGAGATGGATGCCTGACTTCTCCTTTAGCCAAATCTGGAGTACGGAGGCCCTGACTTCTCTGCCAGGATGTGCGCACTCCTGCCATGACCAGTCCCACGCACCCAGCACGGCGTTGGTCGGCCCTGGTCTCCTGGCCTCCTCACTTGCTGTGTCAGAGGAAAAAGGTAACCCTTTCCATGCGCAGGAGCCCTCAGCTACTTGGGAGCCCTCCCCTAAGATACAGTAAGTTAAGCAAGAGAAAGCAGTCAATATCCCCTCTTCTCTGGAGAGGTCATTTCAGTGAAATTCGTCCCCTTTCCTTCTATTTCACTTACCCTCCCCGCCCTTCCGTTATTCTGTTCTAGCTTCCCTCCCCCCCCCCACCCCGGCTACTGGTGAAATTTGTCGTTTTTTTCTAGCCCCCTCATTTGAATTTTGATTTGGCCTCCTGGAGCCTGGGATGCTAAGAGTTTCGATTTCTCCACCTCCCCCAGTTCACAGTGCTCCTCCACACACATTTCCATCTGGACATTTTCTAGATGGGCCCTTTCTCTGAAAAATCTGTCGTGCCCTAACCGGTGTGGCTCCCACTGTTCAGGGTTGGATTCCTGGTCAGGGCACATGCCTGGGTTACAGGTTCCCCAGTCAGGGCCCAGTGAGAGGCAGCCACTGCACGCTGATGTCTCCCTCCCTCTCTTTCTCCCTCCCTTTCCCTCTCTCCCAGAATAAATAAATACAATTTTTCAAAAAAAAAACAAGTAAATAAAACCTTTACATTTTTTTAAGTCTTCCACTGTAAAGATGTGTTAAAAACAAATGAATGGGTTTGAGGTTGAGGCTGCCTACATAGCCACCAACTATAACTACCCACAAATATCCCATCACCGTCATCCCAGTGGGGATGTGTCCACTCTACTTACTTGAAGATTTTATTTACGAACTTTGAAAAATTAAAAGACATTGAGTGGAGGAATTCACATGTGGCATGTTTGGGTGGACTGAATAAAAGGCCTGGTATCTGAATGCTCTGGAAGTCTCTCATGCAAAGCCCAGAGCTGACTTCCCCTCACCCAGGTTTATAGCTGATTCTCCCAGCAAAACTATTCCAATCTCTAAGCCAGTTCCTCTGAAATTGGGTGTGGGGAGGTGAGGCTGGAAAATAAGCCCCAGGGTTCAAGGTCAGGGCCAGGAAGATATAATACCTTTATTAAGTCCTATCAGAACCTGACTTGAGCTGTCTTGCTTCCTCCCCTGAAACAATGAGACAAAAAGGGGAAAAATTATCATGGAAAATGCCTGCAGGGCCATGCCTTAGCGTGTCTCTTTTGAACAGCACTATATTTCAAAAGAGCGCTGTATAGTCACTGGTCTAAGTAGTCCCTCTGGGAGGCTGAGCCAGGGGTTGGGAGTTTGAAAGCCTGGACGGCAAGTGAGGACCTAAAATTATCCCTGAGGAAAAAGAACCAGTTTCATCTCCCAGGGACCCAGCAGCTCACCCATGAGCAGGCTTTGTCACTGGCTCCCAAGCAAATGACTTCCGTGCCCATGCAGTACCCCAAGCAGACCTTGGGCTCCAAGGAAACGCCTAGAGGCTGGAGGTGGAGAGACTCAGCCCCAGCCCCTGCTCCAGGTCTGAGGGATGGAGGCCCCACTTGGCCTGAGTCTTGGCTCGGGCCTCCTGCTGATCCCCAACTCCCAAGTTGTTTTTGCAACACCCCAGAGTGTTGCCAGTTATCTCAAAGGGGTGTCATAAGATTCTTAAAGAGTAACCTCTAAAACAAATGCATGCCATTCTGCAATGTTTCCCCCCCAGGACATCAGGCTTGGTGGGGGAAGGGAAAGCCGTGCCAGGAAGTCAAGCAACTTGGAAGGATGTCGGTGTTTTACAGGTTGACCTTGTTATTCTGAAGAAGCATATAAAAATGTTTACATTAAAAAAAAATTCCTTAACCACGTGAGTGTGCCTGAGTTTGGGGAATGGTTATGCCGGTAACCACAGGAGGCCGTGAGGCTGTGAGGCAATTCCAGGCCTCGGTGAGTGGAGGCTCTTCTGAGCCGGCAGGGACACCTGGCCCTTCCTCCTCTGCTGGGGCGGGGTCCTTCCTCCCGGAATCCTCTGTCAGGCCTCCCCCCAGCTCACACTGATGGCGGGGTGAAAGGCTCTTCTTTTTGCCACTTTGGTTTCTTTTTAAATTTAATCTTTCAAATAGGTCATGCAGTCACATATCCAACCATCAAACTCTAAAAAAATGCCTTCCTCCTGGTTCGTCTGGCCCAAACAGGTAACTACCATTCCTCTCTTGTTTATCCTTCCAGTAATATTTGACATAAAAATAAGTCAATACAAATGCATATGCTTTTGTCCTTTCTTTTCTACACTGATAGTAGTAAAATGTACCCAATTTTCTGCACCTTAATTATTTTATTTTATTTTTTAAAAGACTTTATTTATTTATCTTTAGAGGGGAAGGGAAGGAGAGAAATATCAAAGTATGGTTGCCTCTCATGTGTCCCCTCCTGAGAACTGGCCTGCAACCCAGGCATGTGCCCTGGCTGGGAATTGAACCTCGATCTTTTGGTTTGCAGTCCTGCACTCAATCCCCTGAGCTACACCAGCCAGGGCTAATCATTTATTTTTTAAAGATTTTATTTATTTATTTTTAGAGAGAGGGGATGGGAGAAAGAAAGAGAGAAAGAGGAGCATCAATGTGTGGTTGCTTCTCACACCCTCCCTACTGGGGACCTGGCCCGAAACCCAGGCATGTGCCCTGACTGGGAATCAAAACCACGACCCTTTGTTTTCCAGGCCAGCACTTAATCCACAGCCACATTAGTGAGGGCTGCACCTTAACTGTTTTAATTTAACAATCTATATCGGTGACCCTTTCATACCAATACACAAAAGCTTCCCATTCTTAGTATTCTGCTGTATGGATATACCATAACCCATGAAACTGGTTGACTACTGATGGACATCCAATTTTCTGCCAATCTTTACTAATGAATGATGTTGCAGTGAATAACTTGTTCACGTGTTATTTCATATGTGCGTAGTATATTTGTAGAGCAAATTCCTACAAATAGAATCACTAGATCATAAGGCATCCACTTTTGTAAATTTAAAAGGTCTTACCAAATCACCCTTCCTGGGCAAAATACTGATTTGCACTCTTGCCTTCTGACCATTTTCCGATGGCCAGCCGGGGTTCGGAGGCAAATAACCTGCTGCTTTGGGAAGTCATCCTAATGACTGGCCCCAGGGATATAGTGCTGCCTGGCCTGTGGAGGTCATCCAACTCTGGACAGGAGCACATGTTGCCCAGAGGGAGTTTTATCCTGGCCCTGGGCCCCCAGATGACCTTTGTTCTGTGCCCCGGGAAACAGACAGTGAACCAGGGCCACTGAATCTACTGAGTTCAGGCCTCCAGGCCGCAGTCTATTTGTTGGGAGCCTCAAAGATGCAAGCCCTCCCACTGCATCAGGGGCGATTGTATGATGGTCTGTGACTCAGTATATGTGGTCAGCAGAGTCAGAAGAGGCAGCAGCCTCCTGGCGGGTGGAAGTTCCAGGAGCACAGGAGTTGTAGCTTGTGGCTGCTGTTATGCTTCTTACAACTGACTGCATGTACGTGTGCATCTGTGTGCATGTTCACGTAACAAGGCAGGAAGAAACGCAGGGGAGTTCAGGTGACTGCAGCCTGGTGCCTCATCTGAGACAACTTGTGTTAGAGGTATTACTGTCTATAATTATAACTTTCTCCTCTAGCTTTAAAGTTCTTGGAAGGGAGCAAAAACTAAGTGGAAGTCCTCCCCATACGCCACCCCCCCACCCCCGTACACTCTGTGCCCCTTCTCCACAGCAGCTATTGGTCTACTTTCTTTGAATAATCATCAAAATCCTTGACTATTGGAGAAGCTGCTCCCCAAGGGCCGGGACATGCAACACATCTACCAGCAGACCAGACAAGACTATCTTGGGGTTCAGTAAGGCACCCTCTCCCTCAGAGGGTGCCTCAGGGAGGGAGATCAAACCAGTGGGACAGGGAGAGAGCTGGAGAGGGTGCCCAGCAACCTGCAGATAAGCTTCTCTCATCGCCTTCGGAGTCACCCATGAGTGCTGCTGTGTGGCTGGTTTCTTTGTCAGGCCCTTTCTCTGACTGGGAGGAAGAGGCCATGTCCGCCATGCTGCTTCAAGCCACGGGCTCTCCTCCACTCTCCCCTGGGAGGGAGAGTTCATGCAAGCCTGGAGCCTGTCTGGGTCAGGAGGAGGTTGGTCCTCATGCTGAACACACTCCGGTCCCTCCTCTCCCATCGACCCACATCTTTCCCCCTGGAAAGCAGGTGCTGAGGGAAGGTGGCTGGAACTGGGAAGGAAAGAGTACAAAACACAGGACAGTTTCTCCTCCAACAGAGAAACCAAGACCTTGAGTAAGGAACTTCTGTGGCTGAAGGAGGAGGAAGTCAAGCCCCACAAACCCTTTTGGATAGACAAAAGCCCACTAGGAAACGAGGGGGCAGTCAGGGCCCAGATACCAGTGGAGAGGGGGAAAAGGGAAGTGTTTCCTGTTTTTGAAGAAGTCGCGATGGGGAAAATGCCACTCGGTTTTGCTTATTTGTTTGTTTGTTTGATTGTGAATCTCAAGAGAGACAACGTATTTGTTTCTAGTCAGGAGAGGACTGTCTTCCCCTGTCGTGACAGAGGCGAAATGGGAGAAGGAGGAGATCCCCTGGGGCCTGCCATTCAGCCTAAGTCACCACACGAGGACCTTGCCAGTGGGGCGCCAGCTCTTCAGTCACCACTGCGCACACTCTTCTCCTCTCCAGTCTCCATACTAAGC